TCTGAATAATGCATAGTGCTGTTTGATTTACCATTCTGCAAATAATATTTATTAATCCTTCGAACGATAACCGATGTGGGATCAGAGTTCTAACACATGGAAAAGAAAGACCAATAAAGAGCTGCTTATAGAAACTATCAAAACCTGAAATAGAATGCCCTGTTCATGTTATTTAAATTCTCTGACATTTATAATATTTCATAAAATCTAATCGCTTTGATTTATTCTATTTTATTACAAATTTATTGTGTTTTTTTTTTTTACTTTTTGTAATCTTTGAAAAAGAGAGGAAAAAAATGTTGCCTCTGAGTTTCGGCGCTACTGACACTGATAGACAAGTTCTTACGTAGAAATTTGTATTTCTAACTTCATTTCTAGTTGTCGTTGGGAAATACGAATCGCATTCATTCGAAAGATCTTTCATTATCCGATCCTTCTTCTCTATGAAATTCCTTCTCTTCTCAAATCCGTAGCATCAATACCCTTCCTAAATTAGCACCCTAGATTAGTTTAGATGTATTTTTCACTACTATTAAAAATTAGGGACGATTATTTATTTAAACAAATAACATTAAAGGTACGAAGAAGCCATTCAACAAATTGGTCATTTAAGCCATGTAAGTCATATGCCATATATGACGTGGTAGGGGTATAGATAAAAAAAAAGGACTTCAAGCTATTGATTTATATATTCCTTCTCATAATAATACTTATTTAAGCAAATATTTCGCTATTCGTGGTAGTTCCTTCTGAAATTCTTTATCCACCTAGAGACGAATAGATTCGTCAAACCTCTTCTTCCTTTAAACAGGATTTATTATTTTTCTGAATTTATAATGAAACTACCGGATTAATGCGTTGATAATTATTCCCTATAACAATAATTACTTTCTATAACAATAATCACTGCTAAGCTTATGGAAAGTGAACATCAAACCAGCCAACCAGCCAATGTTCTTAAAATTGGAACATTGAAATTATTATAAGTAAGACTTCATTTATCCCAGAATAAGCTAACTTGTTGATTCATTTATTTATTTCATTTTTTCATTCACATCTCTAAGAAAGGGATGAGTTCTCATCCTTTCCGCTTCTTAAAACAATATACCCTTTGTACATCAACAGGAAATTGAACAAGAAGTAGTCAATAAATTACTTGTAAAATAGTGATTCACAAGAAGTCATTTTATATAAAAATGACATTTCTTGTTTCATAATTTTCTAGTTTTTTATTTATTTGTTTATGCAAAATTTAAATTTTAATATTAGTAATTATTTTTTCCTTTGATGCTGAAGGTTAATTTATTGGGATTAAGTTGTTTTTAATTTTAAAGTATTTTTAAAACAATAGTGTGTGTTAAAGTAAGTTTCTGATGTTTTTATTTTAGAGTAGATTATTGAAAAAAAAATTTAAACATGTATAAATATAATTAGTCATCACTATATCATTTGAATATCTTGACTCCACAGTAAGCTCAATGAAAGACCAACGATAGACCAGCGTATAACAAGAACAAACAGGACTTACTTCTCCTGTTTAAAGGCATTGATAAATGGCGTATTAAAGTAATCGAATCCAAATGCCAACACATCACCTTCATGCTCCGACGCAGTTCTTGTCCACCAGTACACTTTAATTCCATCCAGCTTCCTTTCTCAGACACAGTCCGGTACCTTGGCTTTCTCGGACAGACGAATAACGTGGAACCCTCATACTAGACTTAAAAGACAGGAACTAAACCGACGACACGGCCAACTATACCGACTACTAAACAGAAAATCTAAACTTTCCATTGAAAACAAGTTATTGATCTACAAGACAATACTGAAACCTGCTTGGACTTACGGACTTGAACTGTGGGGAACAGCAAAGTTTTCTCACATCAAACGCATCCAATCCTTCCAATCCAAAGTCCTTCGAACAATAGTCGATGCTCCTTTCTATGTAACCAACAAAACCCTACACCATGACCTTAATATCCCATTTGTCCTAGACCTTATCCCAGCAAAATTCTCCCAATTCCACCAGAACCTTACCCATCATCCAAATCCCTTTGCACAATCTCTATCCAGCACGACCCATCCATATAATCCTCCAAGGAGGTTAAAACAGCAGTGGCCCCGCGACCTTTTATAGTTTGTAAATATTGGAGTTCTGGCAATGGCCAGATTCTCCACTCACGACACGAGTGTATGTGGCTAAAGCACTCTTGCTCAATCTCCACTGGGCTTAGCCCCAGTGACGCGGTTGAGAGAGAAGTGCAGGGATCTTCTGGAGTCATGCATTTCCCTCCAGAGTTGGAGGGACAAGTCTGGTTTGGAGTTCTCTCGCCAGATTGTATATAGGTATGTATGTGTTCTTTTTATTCATTTATATTTATTGTATTTTATTCTTATTTATTGTATATATATTATTCTTCTGTATAATTTATTTTATGTATTGTACATAGAGTGTGAATGTGATCTGTCAACACTATCATAAATGTCCTAGAGACAGATTGTAATATTTTTCAATAAATAAGTTTATTAATAATAATATTAATATATAAATAAGTAAATAAAAAAAGGCATTGAAATCTAAAAAAATCTTAAATTAAAGTTGTACAATATTATGATAAACTCAGTTTTGACATACGGCTGCGGGATTCAATCCTACTAACCAGCACGCTAGAAAGTATTGAAAGATTTGAAAGAAAATTTCTTCGCACGAAAACTGAAGTAATCTAGGATCACAGTACTTACTCATGGAAGGACGAAAAAAGAACTGCTTACAGCAACTGAAAAACCTGACATGTAGCTCGGCTAAATCCATCACGAAGCCTCTGTCCATCTATAGTAGTCTCGAAAGCAGGCAAGAGGCCGCGTGGAAGACCAGATGGATGGATCGAATCAACAAAGATGGTGCAGAGCTGCATGAAAATTACTGGGAAGAAATAGCTCAAGATAGGCAGAGATGGAGAAGACTGGATAAGACTACGACAAATCAACGAGGTGTGTAAAGCCAACAGAAAATATATTTAATTTTATTATTAGTTATACAGTCGCTGTCATAGAAATTGTATCACCTATTTCTTTTGTTAATAACGTTGATTCCATTGAATGTTTTCTTTATTTATTAAGGTTACAGGAAAATTTTAACAATGTTTCTCTGTTCAGTTTTAACTAATGCCAGGATAAAAGTTGTGATTATAACCTGTAATAATAAATAGTAAATAGTAACGAGGATATAGTACCACCAATCAACGGTATTCATAGTTCTGAAAATAAAAAAAGGCACCATGGAGCGAAAGAAAGAAACTGAGAGAAAAAAAATCAGGAGAGTCCACTCACACGACTTTCCTATCCATTTCAGAAAAGTTTCTATATCTTTAAATATGTCCATTAAGAAACAAACAAAAAATGAATTAGATTTATTTTCCTGGAAGTTGGTAAAAGAAAAGATTTGAGTACGATTTATTTGATAAAATAAAGCAATGTAAAGCAGCTTGTGGAAGATCAGCATAAAAAAATGAATACCCTCTAATAATCAACAACTTGTTTAGACAGACAGACAGACCAATTGCTGAAAATGTGTTTTTCAGACTCAGGGGACTCTGAAACGTATAGATTCGTCAAAAACAGCATTTCGGAAATTTGACCCCATCGCAATAATTCTTTACCTAGTATTGGTAGGAAAGTAATAAATTAAAACATGTGTAAAAAATAGAATACGCTGTATCCTCGCTAATACTAGTTCGGTTCCGATGAACTTTTTTTTTTGTTTTGTAGCTAATTTAATTACATTTCAAAAGCTTTGGTATAAATTTTATCGTAGAATACATACTTAGTGAGTTAGGCCCCAAAACATTTTTCTTTCCTTTATAACTTTTTTTCATGAATTTTCACAATAATTTAGTTCATGTGCAAAAATTAAAAGTACATTAACTAGAAAATTATAGGAAAGTTTCATCAAAAACTTTAGAGCGCTACATTCTATAGAAAAATATGTTTTTCACTTATTGAGCAGCTGATATTTCGCAGGGAGCACCCAATTTGGGTTACAAATATTAGTAGTCAAAATCCTACAAAACAAAAAAAGAAGCAACAAAATCGGTTAGCTAGTTCCCGCGATAATCTTGGCACAGACAGACCAACGGATGAAAATGTGTTTTTTCGGTCTTAAGGGCTCTGAAACGTATAGATCCGTCGAAAACCGCATGCCGGAAATTTGACCCGATCGAAATACATTCCTTACCAAGTATAGGTAGGAATATAAAAAACAAACAATTAGACCGTTGGGAATGGTGTGATTGTTTTTAGAGTATCGTTTCAAAACTGGCAATATCCAGAGATCTGGGAGATAGCAATCTGGTAAATAAAATAAAATTTAATAAAAAATTTACTTTGTGATGCAAGTCCTTTGACCGCGACTGTAAATCCACTTTCCGTCAAATAACTCCATTTTTGATAAGTTTGTCATAATGATAAAATAGATATTTGTTTACTAAAAGCTTAATTTACACTGTAAAACACAAAACTACAAAGAAGGGAGACACATTTATCAGAAATTTATTGTATAAATGGAAATCATTTTACAGTTTTTTTTGTATTTTTTGAACAGATTAAGAAACTTTCTTTAATAGATGCGTCATTACAATTAGAATCCCGCCTTGATACAATTAGAATTTTCCAATAATCGTATATTATTTGCTCACTGTTCTAGTTAGGGATTCATCCGACATCAATCAGTGTCTTTATCTTGCTATAACACGTGAGCAACATTGGCATGCAATGTTCACGTTTAATCTATTCATTTACAAACTGGTATAACATTAAAGTGCATACAAGAATCTTAATAGTTTTTTTTTGTTAATTTCCATTATGAAAAAAAATCAATAAATAAAATTGGGTTAATTATGTAGCAAAATATTTTGCCGCATCACAAGTATCAACATTTCAGAAAAAAGAAATTTTTATTTTTTACCATTGCTAAGAATCATTTATAATAATTTAAAAATATATATATAATGTATTTTTTTTCCAAATTAAATTAATATCACAACCATACTTGAACCAAACATAAAAGTCATTTTAAACACTTATTCTATTGTAAAAAACATATTATCTCACTACAATACAATTTTACAATATATAACATACAATATATACATATAGAATATCACAAATACACCAAGCAGCCCAAGAACCCGAATCATTATTAAAAGATTATTATTATGTGGGATAATTATATTTGTTTACATATTTTTTTCTACAACAAACTAAGAGTAAAACTATATGAACTTCATTCCCTGGGTTCGAAGAAGCATCGAAAAGAAGCCGGGGAAATCGTAGCACCGTCCAGGGACTTCATTGGTGGCAGTTCTTGAGAAACTGGACGAACTTTGAAATTTTGTAAAATTGTAGTCAGGAACAAGAAGATGCTAGTCTTGGCTAAGGCTTCGCCCATGCACCTCCTCTTACCTAAAATAAAATACAGAATGAAAGAATTAAAGGTAAGATCAGTTTTTATTAATTTTTTCGGTTGGCGCTACAGACCATGGAGATCTTTGGCCGAGAGATGTGTTATCCTCACAGACGTATATTGCTTTCGGCACCACAGATAGCCTGGAGGGAGTGACCCGACCTCAAGTTGCTACAGTTAAAGAATCGGAGACAGTAGAGACTTTATATAAATAATGCTTTTATTCATAATGTTACAAATGGCATCTAAAATACAGAATAATATACTATGGATGTATGAGTTGACTACATGAGTTCACTCCAGGTCCCCTGCAGTAAGAGACATCAAGAGAATAAACTACATGAGTTCACTCCAGGTCTCCTGCAGTAAGAAACATCAAAAGAATAAACTACATGAGTGATTTGGTCTTGGAAGGATGGGGGTTATATGCTCAGGAATAGTAGGGGGGATGAATCAATTCTGGACGGTCTAGGAAGCGTGTGAATGAAGTTAAGAATTGATATCCTTATCTTTTAGAATTTACATGAAGTTTGTGAGAAAGTGCTCCTTTGTTGATAACGGTTATTGTCCCCTAAGTCTTGAAAAGTGTCTTCTGTCCAGTCAGTACATTCTAGATAACTATTTCTAAGCTATCAGAGATAGCTTGACCTGGATATCTAGGGCTTTGTGCCTTAATGCTTTGATAAAGGTCGTAAGAAAGGTCAATGCATGATTAAATGATTAAATAAAATAAACGTTAATATTAATATTTGTTACGGATTAAGTGCATTCCGTAACTCTACGAACCATCGTCTCAATGGTGCAGCGGCAGGCCATCCGTTGCTCCACAGACGATCCCTTTGAGGCCAATCTCGCTGTGTCCTTCCCACCAACCCACTCAGATTCAAGGCCAATGATAAATCGGTCTAGATCTATGCATTATGGCTGGTCAGAATCAGCAGGCCCACGAGGACCTATATTTCTTTCCCCGAAACAGACCGTCCATGGACCAATCTTCAGGGGACCAAACCACATCCCGAATCCCAATTTAAATGCACGGGGTAGGATCATCAGTCCTACGCCCGGTCAGTGTGAATTACCTCCAGTAGGCTGAAGGGTCTCACATACCCTGGGGGAGGGGAGAGTCTCGGGCAGCTTGCTTTCTCTGTTGGACGGTCACCTAAATCGGCTGTCACCCATCCAAGTAATAACCACGCTCGACGTTCCTTAACTACCCCTTAAGGCTACCCCGATCCCCATTAAATTATTATTATTATTATATATATAAAACAAATATATTCGAACATCAAACTTCTTGTTCAATCATTCTTGTTTATCAAAAGCGATAAATCAGATTTTATTTTAAAATCTAAATAGTATCTCCTCGATTTGCCTATAAATTAGTGCCCATAAACTAATTATCATTTGTTTTTTTTTAGTATTCATTTAGTTTTGTTTTTTCAATTAATATCAAGGTTGTTGTTTTTTTTCTCGTTAGTTGGGATTAGAGGTCGGTAACTGATAAAGACACCAGGACAGTTGATTGCTATTTATAATTTTAATATGGAATGGATAAACAGAGAACTTACGTTTTGAAACATGTGGAATTTCAACAAATGAAAAATCAACCAATAAATGGTTTGTCAAAGGAATCAAGAATTATGTAAAAAGATTCATTGGTTGTTTTCAGAAATTCAAAACTATTTTTTTACATTTTCATTGCGGGTGGATAAAAGTCCTAGATCAACCATCGTAACTCAGCATATATCTCTCGATACTTCTCTTAGGTTTTGTTTTTTAAAGTTTTTAATAAGACAATAGACCACTCTGTTACCGGTACTAAATTTTTGAATATTTAAAGATCATCTTATTTTTTATGTTCATCTTATAAAAATATTACATTACCATACTGTGAACTATTCAATAATATATAAAAGAAATAATACCTAATCCAAATGGAATGAAGAAATCGTTTTGTATAATAGCACCATTTTCATCTATGAATCTCTCTGGCCTGAACTTTTCTGGATCGATCCAGTGGTCCTTGTTCATGTGCAAACTATATAAATTTGCCAAAACTATTGTGTCCTAAAATACATAAAAAAATTATTTTTAACATACAGTTAAGCATTCATCTATGTATATTTTCTTAAAACGTTATAAAATATGCTTATAAAAGAAAAATAAATCATTTGTCATTTAACGCCATCTGTAGCTTCTTCACAAGAATTTTGTTTAAACACTTTCTTAAGGTCTTCTACATAACTACATCATAGTTATTGTGGAACTACCTATATGCCCTCAAAGAACAAGCCTTGGACAACAAATTGTATTGAGGATACTGATGTGGTTATTGAAATATATTTCAAAAACTAAAAAAAAAATAGAGTCAGCGGGTAATTAAAAATTACTCGAACAACTAAAAGACTGCCAACATAGAAGTGGTACTGGCCATAACACATGCGGATTTCCGCCGCTTCATGTTAGTCTCTTGCCGACAAACTGCTTAGGGATTCATAAAGAAAAACTTGATCGTGTTCTTAAGATCTACAGAAGAAGGATTAGTCCCGCCCTAGCAATGAATTCAAGCAATAAGGCAAGATAAGGCCAGAAATAAATGAGGAAGAAATCATCATCAAATACTTTGGAATCTGTTGGAGAATTCGGTTGAGTACAGAAAGAGTCCTTTGGAGAAATATGTCCAGTGAAATACTCAATTGAAGGTGTTCGTAAGAGGAGCTTGGAAACAGAGCTTTGCAAAGAAGAAAGAAGTTGATGCCTGGACATCTGTGAAGAAACAGGAGGCAGTTAAGGAAGGAGGTCCATCGAGAAGACATTAGCGGTACTAGAGCTCAAGATTCCACCATATTCCTACAACCAGTTAAAGTCATAATATTTATTCAGAATGCACTCATGTTACCTTTGTTAGCAAAATATAAGATACTAGAGCAATTAATCCCACAATTAAATATTCTCAAATATATTTATAATGTTTAAATTACAAATAGATCATTTTTTTTACTTTAGAATTTGCTTATTAGACATTTTCCTATATACCATCGTTTAGATTAAAAAAGTAAATTGGAAACATAAAACCTGCAAAACCTTTAGTTGAAAATTTTCAAGGGAAAATTTCTAGTTCCGGAAGAACAGGAAAATAATAAAAAATAAAACCACTTTAAAAAATAAAACTTCCAATTTTCTTCATATTTTTTATTTATGCTTGTTGTCTCTTACGTTTCGGGACAATTTTCTCATCGTCAGGGCAATATTTTTATTTTTACATTCATTTTTTTGATGTGGCACCATTTGTAAAAATTAATTATTTGTCACATTTTTAAAAAAATTATTTGGTGTTACACATATTCACTGATACACTAATCAAGTGTATATACACATATTCATCAATACACTAATAATATCAGTGAATATGAGTAGCACCAAATAATTTTTAAAAAATATGACAAATAATTAATTTTTGACAAATGGTGCCACATCAAAAAAATGAATGTAAAAATAAAATTATTGCTCTGATGATGGGAAAATTGTCCCGAAACGCAAGAGACAACAAGCATAAATAAAAAAAATATGAAGAAAATTGGAAGTTTTATTGCCTACAATATGAAAAAATTATAAACGTAAGCTTCCTAATAAAAAAAGAAAAATAAGAAGATAACAAAATGTATCTTTTTATTTCATGGGTTGTAGTAAAATCAACGCAGAAAAAATGATCTTATTTTCTCATTTATTCTTGTATAAACATTTTTTATATGCCCTATAACCATTAGATATAAATGTCAACTAAAAATTGATGTACCGTTTTGAAAAAATATAATGATGAGAAAAAAAATATAAAACATGTCCATCAAGAATTTAATTCTAAGTAATGTGATTTCTATTTTGAACATCCATTGTTTAATGAAATATGCCTTCCTTTTGTCTCTAATGATTTACCGCAGTCTTGATTGAACCATTAATAACCTTCATCTAGACGTTATGACTTTATTCTGGCGATTTCTAGAGGAACGACTAAATTCGATCAATAGCCGTTCGCCCTATCATAACTCTACTTAACTACCAAAACTAAGGTAGATTAAAAAAAATTAAATGATGCAGTCAATCGAGAGGTGTGATTGTTGTATCTCTTAAATTTGTTTGTGAGGATAATGCTCGATTAACAGCGTTCTCAAGTTATTTTTTCCCAAAGACTTAGGTGTCAAAGAGGTACCAAGGAACCAAACTGGAGAAGAATCATTTGATTTCTTGAGCAAACAAATACAAACACTGAACCGGGTGAATTTTCTATACCAAAACATTGTCGAGCAATCGATCAAATTTTAAGCCGACAATCGTACAAAGATTCAAGTAACAAAAATATTCTTACACTTACCTTTGGAATTATGTAGCCCATCACTTCAGCGTCCTCTTTGGCACGATGAGACACTGTCGTTGGAGTTACATTGACGCTCCTGAGGAGCTCCATCGTGAATGCTTCCATATAGACCAGGCTGAAATAGAGAGAAATACTTTATTGAAAGTAGTGCTTCCCTACTAGAAAGGGTTGCTTTACACACAGCATACCGATCATCAATTTGGACATAATTTATACATTACATAATTCTACTACTACATATATATATATACAACTTTAATTTTTGTTAGGTTCATTGCATTTCTGACGTTACATATAGATTGGACTTCGAAAATAACATTGCATTTATTTATTTTTTCCCAAGAGATTCCTATTGAGACTGTTCATTTTCTTGAAATTTGCGAAATTGTAAAATCAAATTACTTTTTAACCATTATTTTATTACTGAAATAACAATTGACTAGTATTCTTGGATAAATGCAATTAAGACGACAAAAGTCTATCATATGTTCAATGATATAGATAATAATAATAATAATAAGCTTTATTGACATCAATTATTGACAAAAGCCTCTCCCTAAGGTGGAATTTTAACGGAGTTGGCTACAGCACAGAAAAATATGTTTAAATTATTACAATAATTTTTTTAAATGGTAAAAATAAAACAAAACATCACATATAATCATTTTTTTTTTTTTGTAAAATAGCCATGTAAGGCCTAAGAAAAACATAAAAAAACAAAGCCATACAGTAAACAGAACAGCCTTGGAAGCACTCGGTTAATAAAAATGATATAGATAAATGACAGTAATGATAAATCGATTTCGACGGGCAAGCCATGTCCTAAAAATCCCATGTTGTTGATGACCGAGCCCTAGCGCGGATGTCGTGCGGTTGGTCGACCAAGAACAAGATGGTCAGATTGCGTTGCAAATGATTCCATAAAAATAGGACAAAGCAATTGTGTGGAAACGGACAACGAAAAAAAATGTTTAAATGACTGAAGCTAGGGGCGCATTTGGGTTCTACTAATATAATTATAATTCTTATTATAACAAATTTGTTTTTTTCCAATTTGTCCTATAATTGAAAAAATATAAATATATTATTAAGGAAAGATATAGCCCGGGGTGAACGTTGGCTTCTAATAAAATAGTTTTGCCACTATTTAGTTTATTTATAACCGCCACCCCGGACCATCTCCTTCCTTAATAACACAACAGTCAACTATTAAGTATTAAATAAATATATTACATATGCATTTATCATTCAATAAACTTCCAATGAAGAGGTGGGCTTTTTAATAGAATATTAGGAAAATACTTAAGGTATTATTTTTTTTTTTTTAATATGTTTATTTAAAATAAATTTCAATGATTGGTGCAGTCATCACACAAGGAATGCCCGTAAGCATAATCCATTTTACATTTAGTTTTATCTTTATCATTAGATACCAAGCGATTGTTGCGGTTATTTCAGGAAAATGGATTGTATCCATTGTATTGTATCGAAAAAAATACAATCTCATCTCTTAATCAAACCTTTCTTGTCACGAACGACAGATTCCTTGTGGAAGTATTGAAAATTTGAGTCACGAGAACTTTTAATTTTCCTTCACCGAGTTATAAAAGTTTCACGGGAAAAGTTTTTGTATTGATTGTCGAGGAGTCCACTATTCTGCCATCATATTTTCTTAGTTTCTGAATCACGCCTTCGAGTTTGTCTTGGGAAATTTGACGAATATAAAATAACATTATTATATCAATTTTACATGGACTATGAGCCATAAAGACTAAAAACAAAAGTTACGATTTGGAAGTTTTACTGCATTAGTGAAAAACTAATATCGTTTCCCCTTCATGTTCAGTAATTTTAAACTTAATTATCGCATTAATAATGACCTGATGTGAGATAATAGGAGAAGAAATGAAAACTATCTTTTTTGTATTTAGAGCTGGTTTGCAGGTATTTTTTGTCCAAACCTAACGGTATGTGCTGGGAAGAATAAGATACTTCTAGTGAATCTTAAGAAAGCTGAAAAATAAGTTTTCAAATATAATCATAATTGTTATGACGTTTCAAACAATTGCACGTATTTTTGGTCCATTTCGCAAATCACTCCCCCCAAAAAACAGATATACCTCATTGTTAACAAAGGTTTGAACTTCTAATAACAGTTTTCAGACCTTGCCCGAACCAATCACCCCAGAAGTTATTAGAGATTTAACACGCGGGAACGTTGAATTTAGAGTGACTACCATTACTGTTTATTTATTTAATTTTTTTTACTACCGTGTTCGAGTTACTATCACCACAGGTTTTGATAAATATAAAATAAATATTTATTTGTTTTCCTTTAATCAGTCATTAAACTCGTTCTACGTTTGTAATTTGGTCAGTATTAACAATTATATATTATTTACTCGAACACGATAGTAAAAACATTAAATAAATAAAAAGTAATGTTAGCCACTCTAAATTCAACGTTCCCGCGTGTTAAATCCTCAACAACTCCTGAGATAGGTTGTGGCAAGGTCTGAAAACTGTTTTTCAGACCTTCGAAAACTTCGTTAGAAGTTCAAAACTTTGTTAACAATAAGATATATCTGTTTTTTTCAGGCCATTTTGAGCGATTTGCAAAATGAACCAAAATTTCTTGCAATCGTCGTAACGACTACGCATATATTTAAAAACCGATGTTTCAGCTGCCTTAGGATTCACTAGAAGTACCTAATTCTGCCCAGCATATACCGGTAAGTTTGAAAAAAAAAATATAATATAAATATAATAAAATATAACAAAGATGGTATTAATACAATAATTAAACTAAAATTACTGGGAAAATTTTAATTCTTGTTTTTTCTTCCAATTTCCAACGGTAACGTTAGTTCGCCCCGGTTCGAATCCGGCCGGCATGGGCAGATTAAAAGTTTCTAGAAGCTCAACTCTGTCTGTATATTCCTATAAACCCGCTGATGAAATGAAATGGAAAAAAAAAATGTACTCTGTTAAAAAAATTAACTGTTCATTGCAATTGCAATTATATAGTTGCTTGAATAATACAATCTACAGTAGCAAGTAGATTTTACATGTTTGCGGAAGTTTGAATATGAAGTAGGTGGTAGAATACGTCAGGTTGTTTGATGTTGGAGTAAATTGTAAGTTTATAAAATTTGTCAAGTAAATTTTAGTGTGATCGGAATTAGCGAGAGTTGTTTCGTGTCGCATAAATCCTTTAATTAAACCTTTCTGATCAAACTTAGATCCATTTTTATCCAAAAGTTTTACAATGAGTATGAATTGCAGTAATTAATTAAATAAATAATCTATTGTGAAATATTGTCACATTTGAGACGGTACTTTTAAATTTAGAATTATAAAATGTAAATAGATGGATCCTATGTGTGGTAATTAAAAAGTTACAACGTTTTAATTATAATTTCAAAATTTACATCCAAATTAAATTCAGATTTATTTAAAGTAGGTCTTGTATCATATCAAGGGATCTTAAGGGAGATTGGCATGACTGTGGAAGGATCGTTATGCAGCAGGCCAAGGTCCGGTCGCACGATAGCTACCAGGCAACTAGGTAAAGGGGCTACTCAAGGATTTCTTTAGACAGCCGTCTATTACAGATGGAAACGAAATGAATCTATTAATATAAAAAAAAAAATCGAAACTAAAAAAAAAAAAGAACATTATTGTTAATAATATTATACAGGCTGTGTATATTTCCCCAAGTCTTTATTTCCTTTATTATCATCGCAACGTTTTGGCACCCAAAGCTATTTTCAAGCCATCAGAAAGACTTTTTAAACTTCAATATCTTACAAATTCAACATTTAATTTACCATAGTAGTGATGTTGATCATCAATTTAATCTAACAATAAATAAACTTAATCCCAAGTGAAATGGAGTCAATTAAATTACATAAAAATTTTCACTATACATTTTTAAAATACACATCCTATATTATTTTATTAACTAATTAGAACAAAAGTAAATCAACATAACATTATTGTTATTTTATTAAACATTTGTGAACTATTGTAACCCTACTCCTTCAGTCTTTATCATTGTTATAATTGGAGCGTTCGGTCGAATAACGGTGTATGGTACATTTTTTGCGAAATCGGATTTTTTTTACTGAATAATGTCCTTTGTAGCATCTTCTTAAATGTCACTGAAGCAAGCTTCTATAAAAACCAACATATCTCGTCGCTGTGCAACAATGCACAGCTGGAATCGTGAGCTCTACATTCGGAACAATGGTCTATGACGCAGTTGCCTTTATTGAAGAAGGTTATATTCGTATTTCGTACATTCATTGTTTATGTTCCTGGTTTATTCTGTATTGCTGATATCCAACAGGGTATATAAGATGGACTGGAAGCCAAAAATCAAGCCGGAAAACTTATCTCCTGAAAACCACCAACTAATCCCTACCACAAAAAATAAAAAAACAGAGTTGCTGAAGATGATACCTTGACAGAAAGTATGAAGATTTTTACGAATCATTGTCCAAAGTAACACATTTTTTAAAATATTTTTTTTCATAATTCTTAATTTGTATTTGATTTTATTTTGTTCCAAACGATCATTATCTATTAAAAATGTTACAAAAGTGCCAATATAGTTATAAATAGCGAACTATGATATTTTACAGTAAAAAATTGTTTGGCTACTTATTTTATCTAAATGATTAAGTCAGTGGATTACTTTGATTAGTGACACAATGATGTGGCAATTTTTAAATATTTTTTAATATTTGAAAATTCAAAACTATGTTAGAATTTCATAAACGAAAGCCAATCATTATTAAGTCTATCAAAGATGAATGGGTTATTAAGAGTCCAATCATCATAAAACAATAGTAGGCGGTGACAATGGGACAAATGTCACGGGCATCGGACCTATAGGAGGCTTCGAATTGGAGACGGATTTATTTAATTTTTTTAAATTCATAAATCTATTCCGACCACCGACCAGCATACCATATAAAGGAACCAAAACATTACGAATCCTCACCAACGCCGTCCCCTTGATTCTTGTAAGTATAATTACCGTTACCTGGAATAACCCATGTTTGTGGATAATTTCAGAAAATCCTTATCCCGTTTCTCAATATCCGTCCAAAGACAAGCATCGCTCATCTCAATGCTGCGGCAGCATGCTTTCAATGCTTGAAAGTGTTCAAGAAAAATTTAAAATCTCTGCAGATGCTAACAGACCAATTGCCTTTAGCAATGTAAACAATCGACGTGGCACACCTAATAAGTATCGTGGTTTGGTTAACCAATTCTGGGTTCTCGAGTACCTTGGCTGTTACGGGCCTCCAAAACCATATTTACGAAAATTAAACAATAAGTTGTAAGAAGTTTGCGCAAAAAATACATTGAAAGGCACACAATGTGAAAAAAATAAGCACAGGAATCTTCTATAATATCAGGAAATTAGCTAGATAAACAAAACCTGGGTAGTTCAGTGAATAAGAAAATGATCCCAAGTTCAGACTATGACAGACAATTATTTATTCTGCTTCATCAGCCATGGGCGATCCTAGGGTTGCTAGACTCTGCTGAGGGACACTCAGCTTCTCTATAAAAAAGAAACTATTAATTAATTTATTGACTATGCAGGTAAACACCTTGCGTAGTATCGGCTGAATTATCTCCTTGCTCAACTGTTTTCATATAAAGAGATGTTCTTTACAAAGCACTGTGCTCAAGACCCTTCATTAGTTACAGTGGTACAAGTTTTAACGACGTGGATTTATATTTTACAAATTTATGGAAAGTTTCACGTTTATAAATCAAATTTTCATTGACTTTCAGAGTCCGTGGACAGACTACTTTTTATGGAATTATTAACATCCACCTGAAATCTTGTAAATAGTTTCATCTCATCGTAACCTCCAACTATTTTGTTTACGAAAACTCTTGGAATTGGGACGTTTTCAATCTGGAGGGAGGGAAAATTTTGTCTATTTAATTAGGTACTAAAAACTAGTAAATACCCACTTGCTTTCTAGTTTGATCGTAATATCATTTGATAACAAAATCGAGAAAAAAAGGTAGCCTACAAAAATATTAGGCCGTTTGTCCTATATAACCTCGTTATTTTGAAAATTTGGGGTCACGCAAAACGGCTCAATATTTTTGAAGGTCACCTTTTTTCGCGATTTCGCGATCATATTATCTTACGATCCAAGAAGAAAGCAAATGAGTATTTACGAGTTCATTGTAGCTAATTAAATAGACAAAGTTTGCCCCCCTCCAGGTTGAAGACGTCCCAATTCCAAGAGTTTTCGTAAATAAAATGGTTGGAGGTTACGATGAGATAAAAATATTTACAAGGTTTCAGGCGGATGTTAATAATTCGATAAAAAGAAGTCTGTGCCACGGACTCTGAAAGTCAATGAAAATTTGTTTTATAAACGTGAAACTTTCCATAAATTTGTAAAATAGAAATTTACGTCGTTAAAACTTGTACCACTGTAACTAATGAAGGGTCTTGAGCACAGTGCTTTGTAAAGAACATCTCTTTACAGGCAAACAGTTGAGCAAGGAGATAATTCGGCCGATAGCACGCATGGTTTTTATTGAATAGTCAATAAATTAATTTTCAGCCTCTCTATAAAAAAGAGTTTCTTTTTTATAGAGAGGCTGAGTGTGCCTCAGTAGAGTCTAGCAACCCTAGGATCGACCATGGCTGATGAAGCAGAATAAATAATTGTCTGTCCTGAAGTAGGGATCTTTCTCTTATTCACTGAACTACCCAGGTTTTGTTTACCTCGCTGATTTCCTGATATTTTAGAAGATTCCTGTGCTTATTTTTTCCACACTGTGTGCCTTTTAATGTATTTTTTGGACAAACTTCTTACAACTTATTGTTTAATTTTCGTTTTGGAGAGCCGTAGCAGCCAAGAAACTCGAAAACCCAGAATGGGTTAACCAAACAATGATACCTATTAGGTGTGCCACGTCGACGGTTTACATTATTACTTTGGGAATAGGTTGACTAGGTAACTTAAAGTAAGAGTTTTTTAGTATGAAAATAGCTGGATGGCTCAATTTTTTTTTTATTCAGACCACTTCCATAATTGTTTTGCCAGCAGTAAGCAAAATATTGTTACAAAACTGTAATCAAATCATCTTGAGACTAATGCATTGTCTTCTTCAGACTGGGTGTCTTGTCTTTTCCAGGTTGAGTGAATTGCATAAGTCGGTTCTTTATCTGAACCGATCCAGTGTTTTTCCGCTCCATTACGTCCAAGTCACTGGTAGCTTCACGGGAGAGGGGAGCTTTCTTGCTGAGCCCTCTATCTCTTTTTTTTTTTTTATATAAATATGTATCGCTAAATGCATCATTGTTTAATGTTTTAATACCTTATTTTTTTTAAAACAGGTCATCAGGGACTGCTTGGCTATAGTTCTATTTTAAAACCAAGAGTATGCGTTTTGTTGGAATATGTTCCCATATTAGTTTTAAATATATGTATTTGTTTTTTACTTATATATGACCAATATTTGAATTAATAAATAACGACTCTTCATGATTTGTAGTGATGTGAAAGAAGAAGAAGAATATTTGAACAAACTAGTATTTTTTTTCTTGTGTTTTTCCTACTTTTTTTTTTCTCAAATAGGTCTTTAACCTATTGAAGTGACAGTTTACGAGATTTCTTCTTTCATAATCAAAAATTAAATTAAAAAAATAAATATATACCTCAATATCATCCAGCTAAAGCTATATAACTTTTTTTATTATGTAAGTTCCTAAATTACAAACAATTCCTACTAGCAACTAGCAACTCCTCCCCACCCAAAAAACAAATAAATAAATAAGAAAAACAACAACTATTAATCACTATACTCAGAGGAGTATTAATACCTAATGAAAAAATTGTAATCAATAATTTACCTTATTAATTATTCTATTTTATTCATCAATTGTATATTAATATAATAATAGTAACCTTTATTAGTACATACAATATGGAAATATATACATAAACTTTTTTTTTATTATTGAAATTCACAACTGTATCAAATGATAAACACATCAAGTAAATATGAAATAAGTAACACGATATGTACAACATTTTGCTAACTAACAAACTACCCATTGCTAGCACTCCAATTATATTTCTGTATTAGAAGGTATCGAGGCCATCTTCTTTTCAAACGCTTCGGAGGGTTATCAGAAATAGAAGAGGAAGCATGGTTGAAAACAAGAGGGTTCGGATGGTTCAGAAGTTTATTATGGAAGGATAGATATCTGGATTGAGCTAAATCGGAAAATATATGGTACACTAAGGTCGTTATTAATGATTTTATTTGTGACAATGTATGGAGCATTGAGAAAGGATTTTGGATTGTAAGGATTGGATACGAGAGGAATTTGATGGTTTAGTACAACACCAAAGCTCAACTCGGTAAGCCCAAATAGGCCTCATTATAGTAATATATATGAGTCTTTTGTAAATAGTTAGAAATTAAAAAAGTTTGTCTAGTAAGTGCTGCAGTAGTCGAAAACGTAGGGCGAGATAAACTTAATATTTAGTTCTATACTTATATAGTAATTAGTTGATCAGAAAGTTATTATTACTATTATTTTTGTAATGGGTATATTAATAAATTGATTGTTTGTTGTTTTTACCCAAAGCATTATTGTATTAGTTCTGAAGAGTCCCGAGGTTGACAAAACGTTGATTGTTTTAATAGAATTCATCGTGAGAGACTTAAGGAAGCTTAAAACATTCTAAAATATATATTTTTTTAAAGTTGTTAAGTTTTTAAGGATACTTCAATCGGAATTTTCTACTTATATCAGTATACATATTGCTTAATCATTTTTTAGGTTTAGTGTAAACTTCTTTTACTTACTTAGGCTTATCCTTCATACATGGCCGTTTTCCTTTCCCGATCACCGTATCCAACTCGTTGTGCAGATTGTTCTGGATGTGAGGATAATGAAGAAGGTGGAGAATTGCGAATCCTAGGGTCGCCGAAGTTGTTTCTGGTCCGGCCAGGAAGAGATCAAGAAGAAGAATTATGAGCTGTTTCTCTGCAAATCCAAAGTAAATTTCAGATGTTTAAATTTAGCCAGTAATTTTAATAAAATGGTTTTTATCAGTAAATTTTATCAACTAACTCCTCCAACAAGTTATCTGGAAATACTGTGACACAAGTCTGTTCAACCATGAAAACGACTAATCAGTGATACCAGGAGCAGACAACGTTCCTGAACTGCGTACTCTACAATACAAATTGTCAACAAACAAAGACAATATTCTTACCTGCAACGAATGACTGTAATACGTACTATTCGATCCTCTAGAATCAAACTAAATGGAAGTGTGTGAAAATTTAGGACAAAAAGCTTGCTGCTGTCGTTTTTCCAAATGTCTTGGACCACCCACCAGAGCTTTGTGCAAGCAGGCAACTTTTCCTGCTTTATGTGCATCTATTAGGTCTTCACAGTATTTGAACTATCATATGAAATTTATTTCATACCAGAGGACGGCGTTCAAAACCTCATTCAAGATAATTAACACTAACATTCTTAACAGCTAGAGTCATCCAGGTCAATCTTAGGATTTTTCCAGGTCAACCAGGTTTATTAACGTAAAAAAGAGGCAAATGTATAAAAGATTTAGGTTATATCTCTCTCTATTTATTAAAGCTGGTGACGAAACATGCAGATGCACCAAGTCCTGCAGAACTCAATCAAGAAACTGAGGCTGGACTCGGTTTCATTAATTTACCTCAACCACGCGGATTTTCGCCAATGCTTCAGATGAAATCGTCAATAAAGTCCTTTTGGAAGGAACTTGGTTTATATTCCTCTGCCCTTAATATTGATACCTGGGATCAGAAGATCAGAAGGGGACAAGAAACAAATTGATCTTAAAAATTTAAGCTATTAAAGTTTGTAAAAATAATTCCACACAACCATCCCCGATAAATAACCGACTAATCCTTGTCTGTTCTGACTGAGCTTGGGATATTAACGAAAAAATATGATTGAGAAAGAGAAATACATAACTAAATTGAGACTTGAATCAGGAATGATTGGGAATTACACCAAATGCAAGTAACATTCCATTTTCAAATCTTGTTACCATCGTACTCAGTATTGGTATCGATTAATGGACCATTTATTCCATCTTTATTTCAACTCCCTGTTGTACATAAATGACCCTAAAAACTGCATCAAAATTCATGATTAAAACAAAACATTTTCTACATTTCCTACTGCAGTGGCTAATGTTGCCCAAAATCGGTCTTGGTATTGCAAAGTCCGCCGAACTGATGCGAGAACAAGACCAGGACTGGTAAAAAAAATGGATTTTTAAAATAAAAATTAAGGCAAAATAGTTACTAATACTTGCAAATCTTATTTACTATTTGTTAATAATTGGTATAACCAATATATTATTGCATTTAACTCCTCTAATGTTTTAATCGGGCTTAGTTAGGTTTTCCGACATAAAAACTTACAGTAATATTTCTATATTTATAAGCTAATAAGTAACTGCAAGACTGTTGGGAGACTCTTGCACAAGACCAAGACCATGACCAAGACTGAGTTTGCAAAACCAAGACTCGTCTCGGTCTCGCATTTGGGCAACACTACCAGTGGCATTATTGATCTTTTTATTATATTTTTTTTCACAGTGCTCAGTCATTTCAATTAGTTTTAAAATTGTTATTACTGCCGATTGACGGTCCCTACTCGAACAAGCCGCCTAGGACCGTCCAAAATTTCTGATAAAATTTGAATGGCAGGGTTTGAAGGCGTTTCGGTTAGCATTTCACCTCGTTTCCTTAAACTATAAATCAAGTTCTTTTAATTTTAAAATAACATTTACCTGTAAAAGTACTTTTACTGGCTTCGTGTTTCTTCATTTCATTTAAAAATGCATCAACCAAGTCTCTGTTTTCATAACTCGATACTGTTTCCCGGTGTTCATCAATTATTTGCTTTGAAAAAAAAAAATCTATTTTAATGATTACAAATACTAATAGTTATTAGTAAACCATTGAAATAAAGAATTTCAATTTTTTTTTATACATAACATTTTACTATTTCAATATTTGGTTTAAAATATGTTTAATATTGAATATTTGTTTTGCTAATATATAAAAAAATTAACTTCATTACATGTGAATATATTTTTCATTAATGTATCAAAATTTATTGAACCTTTACAAACGTTGTGAGGTTGCCAAGAACATCCTTGAGCTTATTGAACGACGTCAGTTCTGGACAAATGAATCTAAGAAACGGCATTTGATTAAGTATGCCTCCTGACATATCTTGCAGGCGAAAGCTGGTGTGGATATGATCTATCAAAACTCGTGCTTTTTTGTCGTCCAACTGAAACCTGCCGCCAGCAACAATAGACCAAAGAATGTTCATTACGCTTATTTCAACAATTTCTGAAAAGACCACTCCATCCTGTGAAAGAAAATTTTCTTGATACTCTAATATTTGTTTATAATTAAAAATAAATAATATTTCAATACCAGATAGAATAAACATATAAGTGGTAAAAGCGATGTAATATGAGTAAATAGGATGTGTGAGATTTTATTCATGATGTCGTTTGTCTAAATTTATATAGTATGGAACTATCAAAGTATTGTAATGGCGCGCAATGAAGACTCTTTATATAATAGTAAAGAGGAATTATCAATAAAAGTAAAAATATTCATTACTTTTTTTATAAGTTAATGTTGGTAATTAAATTGAAAGCACTGATACTATCCTTTCATAAAACAATAAAGTTTTGCATCACTGAATTTTATAGACGTATGCGAGAGAGAGCAGGGTGAGGGACTGTTGCCCTCCCCTCTCCCCCCCCCCCAAATAATTTGACAGAAAATAAAATATAATACTATGCAAAAGGTTTGCCGAAAATTTGAGAAAATTAATTTTGCTGTTCCATGAAAATATATTATTTCATATCAAATTATATATAAATTATAATTATAATAAACTTTTCCGGAAAAAAGTGATACTCTTACACAACGCCAGAACTCATGTTTCACGACAGACAGTGTATAATCAGTCTGAATGGAAATTGAAAGAATTGCCAGCGATGCCCAGCAGGGCATGACGCTAGTTGCTTCATCAAAATTTTTGACGAGATCATAATTGGATTGTTTTTTTTAATTTGTGAGGGGAGGGGGGACAAATTTCGCTGGCGTTATGAATTTTCGGACAAGAGGAAAACATAGAACAGGCCGCAGCAAGTGTAATTGTATATGATATACGATTTTTCGCATTTTTTTGTGTTTTTATGAAACGTGAGTAATAAAATATCTTGGGAAGGAGAAGGAGATTCTTACGCCATCGACTTTGGGGGGGGGGAGGGCACTCCTGGGAATTGCAGAACTTCTATTTGCCTATACTACATTTGTTTTTCAATGGCAATTTACGAAATACCATGGAGACCATGACAAATTTTTGAAAAGTATATGTAGCTTTAAAAAATAAATAAACATAATTTTGGAAAGGGCTATCATGAGATGAGATTATAATATTTATACATACGGGATATAAACGACTGTGTATTTTGGTATTGAATCATGCTTGATCAGGAAAAATGTCATACCTTCTGGTTCTTAAGGATGTGTTGGACAAGATCTTCGGCTTCGCCGCTTATCCTGCCTTCCATTATACTCCTATTTAGTCCAAAGGATTTCAAGTGTTTCATGACGAATCTTTTCTGCTCATTGAAGAACTCACCGTCCACAAACACGAGCCCTGGTACAGAGAATATCATAATATTTTGTAATTACAGTCAAATTATTGAAAGATCGTTAAGATCATTTCAAATTCTGATTAGAAAAAGTAATCATTCTGGTTAATATCTTTCAACTACTGGTATTGCTACTGGAGAAAGGAATATAAATAAGCAGTTTTTATGAGTTGAAGTTAAGAAAAAAAAATTCAATCCACATTCTATTGACGTTCTTCTTCCCGTACCTAACCACCGACTGATTTGCAATTTAACGGATTCGTTATGTTTTATAGTTTTTATTTTATTTTATTTTTTGGTTATAACTATCTACCCTACAAAGACGGCAATGATCGATTCTCAATTATACTTACCATATCTCTCTCCAAAGGCTCTGAACTGGAAGAAGAAACCATCCGGCCTAGCTTCAAACTGTTCCTTGGTGAGTAACTCCTTTACAACTGCTAAGTTAGTGCCGATAACCAGCTTATCATTTCCAAGTCTGACTCCGACCAGTGGACCATACCTGTTAGATTATCATGGTGATATATTCTGCATATAGACAGAAATATTTATTTGGATAATTGAAAAAAAAGTTAAATATAAAAAGTATATAGTTATAGCGAGAAAATTGTTCATTCACACCATATGTAACCAAATGAAATAAAAGAAAAATAATAATATTTAAAACTGAAAATATATACTGAATATTTAATAGTTGACCGTTGCATTATAAAGAAAGGAGATGGTCCGGGGTGGCGGTTATAAATAGGCTAAACTATTTTATTAAAAATCAACGTTTCGACGCGACTTTGTAGGTTTTCTTCAGGGCTAGAACAGACAAGATGCACACAGATAGAAAATTGTGAAAGTTACATAATATTTATACAAAAAATTATAAACAATGTGAATAAGCTTATTAAAATTATAAACAGTATAATATGAAAGTTCATAATATGATATGAAATAATAGACATAAAGGAATGAGGAGAAAGAAAAGAAAAAAGAAAACCAAATAAATAAGTAAATAAAATTAGAAGAATATTATTTCATATTATATCCTTTTTCATAATTGGTAATTGGTTGACTGTCGTGGATAATGAAGAGAAGAATAGTTGGGGTGTTCAGTCAAAAAGGAAGGCAAAAATAAATGATAATATTTATATTTATGTGCCGACGTTTCGACCTGAAGTTCAGGCCTTCATCAGGGCTAAGAAAATAACCAGATAACAAGGTATGAGAAACATAAGTAATGATGGTAAAAAAGATAATAAAAATAAAATAAAAAAATTAGAAAAATAAAATAGATAAATATAAAGTAAAATGAAATTGTTAGAATAATGACTAAGAACTAAGAGATAAATAATAAAAACCGTTACAAAGTGTGGAATGATGGAGTAGGCATAATCAAAAAGGGGTGACAAAAGTGTTACAATGGGAATCTTAGAATAAAATGTAAAACATAAAAAAAAAAAATATATATATATATATATAAATTTATATAAGAAATGAAAATAAATAGTAAAATTAAAACATTGAGAATGGAGTAGTTAGATAGAAAATTGAGATATTGTAAAGTCTATCAAGATGTACAGACAATGTATAATATAATAAAGAGTTAAAAACAGAGAAAAGGAATGAAAGGAAGGAGGGAAGAAATTGAGAAAGCTGAAATAAGAAATAAATAAAAGAACTACTACCTGTCTCCTAATTTTTCTATTTCTAATTTTCTATCTCTAATTTTCTATCTCTAATTTTTTTTATTTTAATTTTTTATTATCTTTTTTACCATCATTACTTATGTTTCTCATACCTTGTTATCTGGTTATTTTCTTAGCCCTGATGAAGGCTTGAACTTTAGGTCGAAACGTCGGCATATGTAAAAAATAAATATTATCATTTATTTTTGCCTTCCTTTTTGACTGAACACCCCAACTATTCTTCTCTTCTATATCCTTTTTCCTTTTCTTTCAATCTCTCCTGCAGATCTGTAGAAGTATAATCACATTTGCATATATTATATGTTACACTACAAAATTGTTACCATCTATTTACTTTAGTTTAGGATCTTGTTACTTAGCTTACTCTGTTTATATTTTAATGTACTTACTGTTTATAATTTTAATAAGCTTATTCACATAGTTTTTAATTTTTTGTCTAAATATTATGTAACTTCCACAATTCTCTATCATTTTGTATCTTGCCCGTTCTAGCCCTGAAGAAGACCTGCAAAGTCGGGTCGAAATGTTGGCTTTTAATAAAATAGTTTTGCCACTATTTAGCCTATTTATGAGCGCCACCCGGGACCATATCCTCCCTTTGAAAATATATACAATAAACAATATGTGAATTAAAATAAACACAGGCACATCTATATAAACTATTTACAATCAGCCAAGAGAAATCTAAACTAGGCTTGTACCTCCATCTGTGGAGAGAGAAGCAGAAATCCATGAGATAATTGTGAAACTCTCTCAATCGACTCACTTGTACTAAAGCCAGTAGCGATAGAGCGAGAGTGCTACATATACATATGTCTTGAATGGAGAATCTGGCCATTCTCGGAACTCCTTTCTGTACATATTTACACTAGGTCGCTGACCACTGTCGTTTCAACCATCGAGGAGGTTTGTAGGGAAAGGGGGAGTTAGATAAGGATTGTGTTTGAGCATTTCTATGTGGATATTAAGGTCATGTTGTAAGATTTTGTTGGTTATATAGAATGGGGGAATTGACTATTGTTCGTACTTTGGACTGAAAGGATCGGATGCGTTACATAGCATTACTTAGTTCACAGATCTTTTGCCACCTTAACCAGACTTAACCATCTCTGGCTATCTTGTGCTATTTCTTTCCAGTCATCTGCACGCAACTCTATGATTTTTTGCCTTCCACGGGATGTTGTTCTTATCACCTTCTCCAGACCTAAGTTGAACATTGGTGTAACCCCATCTTCCTACCGTAAGCTAGTTCGAGCTTAGAAGGCTTCAAACGCTTCTCTTCTTCTCCTATTAGGACTTGACAATTAGGTTCATATTTATTCACCTGTGTCAATCTCAGCAATTTCTTGGGAACTACCAATCTAATCATAATTTTCCAAAGACAGTACCGTCTACGGAATCATATAGTTTAGATAAATTTGATACTTAATTTAAAAATTTTAAGCAATAAATGCATATAATTATCATTGCATATATATCCAGCTTTAATGAGTTTAAAACAAGATATGGTTGAAGAAAAAGGTACGAACTACAAAATATCTTTTAAACTCAATCTTCTTATTTAAAGTAAAATTACAGTGTATATAAAAAAAATGGTGTTCCTGTACCACCATACAATTAGTACTTAAATATCTCGACTAAAGCACATTCACCTTTACAGAGGACTTGCGTTCTTACTTCTAGTATCACCATTGGATCTTCCAAAGCAGGGGTGCCAATCCCCCCAATGGAGCAAAACTCTATTCCTCCCTCCCAAGATATTTTATTGCTCACTTTTGCTTAAAAACAGATCAAGCAAAATAGAATTAGAAAAATCGTAGATCATATAAAATTACACTTACTGCTGTCTGTTCAAAATTTTCAGCTTGTTGCTTAGTCTGAAACTTTTCATTCTTAGTCTGAAAAAGTCATAACCCCGTTGAAAAATGCCCCCCTCAAAAATTCAAAACCCATCAAATTATGTCCCCCTCAAAAACTTTGATGGCGCAGCTTGAGCAAGAAAATCGTAAAAATGTGTTAAATCGATTATATAAGTAGCACTCCCGGTTTGCCAATTTTGACGAAAATGTTGCTGTAACATCGAAGGCTTATAAAAATCTTATTTTATTTATTTATTTATTTATATGATATTTACAACTGTATACAAAAAATACATCTGGTAAATTCGCACATGGATATAATGACATGAAATACATGTTGAGAAACTACCCATTGGTAGCACTCTATAAAAAATCTTAAATATGAAATTTCACTTTCATGCAACTTTTCGTTTTTGAGCTGAACTGATCACATACGAACACAAACACACAGACCATTTTGCGGGACATGATTCATTGGACTCAGGAGACCACAAAACATATATTTCCGTTGAAAACACAGATTTGACAATTTTCACGATCACAATACTTACCCTTACTATATATTGCATATATAGGCAAGTGAAAGTAAATATAACAATATTTTTTTAATTAATGAAAATAAATTGAAATTCATAATGGGATTCGAAACAACTAGATCTGTTATAGATATCTTTTCTATATGCTGTAATAGCAGCCGTAAGAGGGATTGCCTTCCACTTCCATCCCGCCAAGTAAAAATGGAGTGTATTGATTTAATAGTTGTGCACTAGCAACTATTTCAGGGACACTTGACATTTGCAGCTGTCAGCCCATTCTTATCTTGAGCAGCATTCATAGCATTGACAAAGCTATGAATACAAAGCTAAATGTAACTTTATTTAATCAACTTTTCCTCTGAGCTAAGTTCAATTAGAAGTATGTGTTTTTAATTGTGTTAAGTCACAGCTTTTTCAGTTTTTTGAGGCCAGCTTAAATTTTCAAAGAACGTACGCCTGTATAACTATCTTGTGATTTCATATTGTTAAGTAATATCTTTCCACCACTTTTTTTATTTTTTTATTTAGCTATCATTCAGTTGGTCAACTTGACCCAATTTTTCCTAAAACAATTTATTGATATATAAATGTCAGTATATACAGTATAATATTGAGACTAAATATTTTATATGCAAAAGGGTTCCTTGAGGCTCCCACGTCTTCTGTTGGTATGCCGAGATGAAGCGGCTTTATTTTATTTTCCGACGGTAAAACTTCCGAGGGGTGTCTATAAAGGGGTTACATGACGCAAGTTACCCAACCAATCATTCTCCTCTGAATGACTGGATAGTTGTAATATTAAAGTTCATCCAGATCATTATTAGATCCATATCCATAACTATGTTTCAGAGTAGCAGATCACTAATAACAATAGGAAAAATAATTAGAAAGATCATGTTTCCTAAAAAATAAAAAATTCATCTACTCCTTCCTCGAAAATATGAGCAAACGTATTTTCCTTGATACACTTATATCTTAAACATCGTACGCTCGATTTCTCCCATATTTTCAGGGAAGTTCTACACCTACTAAGGGAAGTTTGATAAAGAAATGATCGAATTGCCTCAATTCAAGAATGACATCAAGCCTCAATTCATCAAATTCGATAAACTATTTTAAAAAATTTGGTTCTGCAAACGTATTGTTTTTAACAACCCTTTAGTTTGAAAACAGCTAGTACGGTTTGGCACAACGTCGGAGTAATTTGGAGAATATTGTTAAAAATTGTCTAGTGACGATTAAAATAAAAATAAACAACTATTACAAATATAAGGCTGTGAAATGTCATTGGCAGAGCACACATTGAAAGGGAGTTTAAATTTATAATACAACCCATCCCGAAACTATCATCACCACGTACGCTGATGACACATGTATCCTATCAGTTAATAACGATCCATCAATTGCATC